TTCATAAAGCAGGACCTTTTCAAAAGTGGATTAGGCACTCATACAATTTTACCCCTCACAGTGGACTGTATGTGACTACCCAGAGGATGTCATACTATAAATCCTGCCAGAATGAACTGGAAGGTGAGCAAGGCATTCATAACCGGATGATATACAGGTTGTTGGTGCCAAGTCAGTGTTAATGGAGATGTCTTCTATGTGCTAACACCCAAAGGAGAACAAATTCAACAACAAAACACTTCAGTTTTTGCATGTCTGTGGAGAGTTAACTTTCCATTGTTCAAGGGTTAATTATCCATTATGTGATTCACTTCTCTTTCTCCCTCTGGCTCTTACCTCTAGAAATTTAGTATACTAGAGGATAAACAGAAAAAAATGAAAAGATGAAAATGAAACCAGTACAAAAAAGATGAAAATTTAGGCTCCTACATTTCCTGCAACTCATCACTTACATATATTGGAAGTTCTAGAAAAGACTCCCATGTAGAAGACAGAATTTGATGTTGTTTGGGAATTGATCATTGATAATAGATATTATTAAAGCATATCTTACACAATATTTTGGTTTCTTCTAACTATTGCTTGTTACAGTCAGTTTGTAATATGTGAAGTTACTCCCTGGCTATGTTTACTTAATGTCAGCTGCGCACCATTTAGGGTGTGAAAGGGGCCCTCTCCTTTGGTGTCCCAGAGCACTGTACATGCTTTGAAGTGTTTTTTAATGTATGAAACTATAAGTGGTTAGAGGACAGGTACTGCATTTTATGTTTATTTATTTTCTTCCAAAATAATATAAAACTGTCTAAATCTGAATGAAAGATCAATGAAGAGGTGATGAGTGAATGAATAATTGCGAGGTTGTCCATATGCTAATGCATTGACAGTGAATACATCTTGCTGCATATTGTAAGTGACAAATGAAAGCTATAGATTTTTAAAATGCTATCAATGGAGAAGGGGAAATTCACTTTTCATTCGGGTTATTATGGAAAGCTTCAGAGAAAAAAATGGGACTTGACAAGGATGTGACTTGGCTTGGTATCTTTAAAGGTACCTGAAAAATTGTAGTTGCTGGTGCTGATATGTAAGTAAAGCATCAAAGTATTTAAAGTATAACTAAATAGATGAGAAACTCGAATAAACTGGGTCATTTGTGCATAAACTCATTCTTACAATATGGAGTAAATTCATTAAATACATTCTCAATTTTAAGATAATAGCAATTTAATTTCTTTCCATTTAATTTTAAACTACTTTATACATATAGCAATTAATACTTTTATGTTGTGCATAACAGAATTTAGGTTTATCATGTGACATGCATATCTGATGAAGAATAATTACTAATCTTACCAGCTTACCAAATCTTACCTTTTACAGGTACTGTTTATAAATACAATACTTGTGTAAAATTTATCATAAGTGTGATAAAATGTCAACTATACTTTACTTATGATCAATTTGGAAAAAAGTTTCATTGAATTAAAAGAAAATAAGCCTAGCTAATATTTGGTTATAGTTTAATTTTGAAGATAGATATATGATTATGAATGTACATGAGTTTACAAGATAACAAAGATACAAAATCACATGATACAATAAATCAATCCTTTCTTAACTTTTAAAACATGTATCTTTATGAATGAATCACATTAGAATAAAAATATTTTGTATACAAATAATAAAGAATAATTTCTTATTGGGTCAATCATAATTCTTTTATTTAGCAATGTCACTTGTGTCTAATTGTGACTGTCTTATTAAATGACTATAACATATAGGAAATACTTATAGCCAATGTGCATGCAAGAAGATATGCATTTTAAAACATGCATCTTCTGAAATAAAATTAAAATTTTCAGAATGACCATTGGAAAACTGAATTCTGAATAGTATACTATAAAGGTTTAAAGATAGGTTTTGAAAAAAAATTAGGTACTATTAACACAACCATTTAAGCAGAACAAAATAGATCATTATCCTGCCTTTCTATTAGAGGTGTACTGATCAAATTCTGACTCTTAGACACTAGCTTAATCATGTGATTCTTCCACAGCCACATGGAGCTCTAGATCTTGGCAACAATAAGGAAAATCTCTCTGGCAGGTTATATTTGTTAAATGTCATTTCTTAGATATTTGTATTTACCTATTCTCTGCTTAACAACACTGACAAAATTTTATGTACAGATGTAGAAGATTTCAATAAAAATGTCTTCCAAGTGTTAGAAATACAGCTTGCCCTCAATGCAGTCCTAATAGACATTCCTAGATTAAAAGACAGTTTTCCTGGGAGTCTGTGCAGCCTGAGTATTAACTAAGGAAGACACAACCTCCTGTGTGTGTCTTGGCAGTAATGGGCTAAAAGCTACTTACATTTTTTTACACTGTAACTAAAATTTTATATTATCATTTTCCACTTCAACTTATTTCTTTAGCAAACAAGAAACCTAATGGCAAACCCCCAAGAAACATTATATTTACAAACAGTATGATCATAACTAATGTGCCTAACCAAAATAGGCAAATTATATACACTAAACTTATAGCATATTTTGGTCTTACTAAAACTTGCTGCTTCTTGTCACAGTAACACCTGAGGAGTTTTATTTGCCTTCTAAATTATAGGAATTGTGATAGGAATTGGACTCTTAGTTTGAGAGTCACTGACAGAGCCTGATGAGGCTGCAACAGGGGGCAGTCTCTGTAAGGAACTTGGTTACATATGAGCACACATGAGTTACATGGTTAAGAATGTGAATCGCGGAGAGTAGCAAACAAAATCCCAAAGCTAAGTACCAATGTAATACGTTAGATGACTCTACCTGCTGGGACAAGAGTACACACAATAAACATACACAGCACACATCTGGTTAAATGTAAAATCAACTATTGCTAAAGCATTTTCAACTTTTAAGAGGAATCTACTGGCAGTCTGGTAATAGCAAGGAAAGCGAAAACAATTAAATAGCATCTCTTTCCAAATATTTAAGAACATCGAGTAAGTGCCCCTTAGGCTGGGTTGTGGTTCTTGGAAGTCTCAGCCTATGAGAACCATATTGAGGACATCAAAGGCTCCTCCCTCTCTCCAAAGAGCAATTCAGTTCAGATGCTGCCACAGAGCCAAATGCTTTTATGGTCACCATGTTTTTTTGTTGTTGTTGTTGTTTTTTGTTTGTTTGTTTGTTTGTTTCCACTCAATATTTGGAGCATGCCTGATTCTTGAAATTGAAAAGAAGACAAGAAAACACTATAAGATCAAATGACCCTGGAGGAGCAACAAGACCTGACGGTAAAGGACACACACATTTCAACTGAAATTCCTCTTCCAGGAGAGTGTGAGTTGCTAATAAGGATATAGAAGGCACATATTGACTCCAAAACCAGGTCTGTTGACTCCTCTGTTCGTCTCATACAGGATGCAACCACCCCATTCTACTCCTTCGACAACTTCCCAGAGCACATTCAATCAGAGTCTCTTGTATTGAGGACAATACTATATTTGGGTTTAATACTGTGAGGACCGTCATCTAGTTTTCCTATGTCAGGATGATAAATTTCCCTGAAACCAAATAAGGATTCTCACTGCATTCTTCTGTTCGATACCATGAATACAGAAGCATAAAGAAGAGGGTATGACAAATAATATTTTCCAAAAGGTTGGGTTGGGGGAGGTTCCCTAACATTGAAAAGCAACCAGATTTTAGCAAAGAGATCTTTAAAAGAACAGTATTCATAATATTCTTTTGCTATGTATCCACTTTTCTGTCTCGCTTAGCTGGGTACAGAAGTATTCTGAGCATAATGTAAGTGTTCAGAATAGAGATGCCTGAAAAGTTGGCAAAAAGAAACTTCAAATGCACGATGCATCCCACTTTCACTTCCCCCTCCTACCACCCCGAATAAGACCAACCTCCCCACTCACTCACCTATCTTCCTCCTCCTACCAGCATGTGTGCTAGGCATGTCAACGCTGACATCCATGTGGGCAGCATGAAACCTATGCTGCGGGTCCTCCTGGCACACGCTCTGCCACTGTGTATAGAGTTGTCTTGGCTGTGCACACTGAAATCTTCGCCATTACGGCGGACTGTTTGGTAGCTTTTTAAAAGAATTGTGTCCTTCCTCCCCCCCCCCCCCTTTTTTTTTGAAAACACCCGTTATTTCCTGACTGCCTCAAAGACACCAAGAATAGAATCCTTGACACATCAAATTCTGGAACCTCACCACCACTCACCAAGACTGTGGTTCCTGATCCAAGGAGTGCCGACTGAGAATCAGCACAGACTCTTGAGAGTGTCCAGGCCTGGCTGCTAAGCTCCCTGCTCTGATTAGCTTGTCGAGTTCACAGTGTTCCAGAGTGCTGAAGCACAGAAATTAGGGAGGGGAGGTGGAAGGAAAATCACTGGAGCCTCTTACGATCGAACTTCCACTAACTGAGAGGAAATGTCTTATAAATAAACAACAGCAACAGAAACAAAAAAAACACACACACCATCCCGTCCTGCCAGAGGAATGTACATTATTGTCTCCCGACGGAAAACTTTACACCACACCAGAATGCAGCCATGTCTCCTGAAACTACCTCCCTCGAAACAGAAAGAAAAAGGAGAATCAAGGAGAAAAGGAGAATAAGAAAAGGTTTTTTTTCACTCTCTTGAATTCTGTTGGGAGGTTCTTGTGCGTTCCCAGTAGACAAACTAAACTAAGCAGTTTCAACAGTGTCACTGTTCCAGGATTTTTTGCGGAGGCTGCTTATTAGCAAAATTTCATTTCTGCCCAGATCATTGCTGTGCCATCCGGACATTTTCAGAAGGGAAGTTCAGGGAGGAGGAGGGGGGGGGGAGGGTTTGACTGTGGAGGAGAGGAAGAAGAGAGGACAAAGGAACACTCCTGGTGAACCCGAATGCCCTAACCCCAGCCATGAGAAAGCCAGCCCCACCCTCCACCCAACTTCTGCTTGTTGAGGACTTGGTGATGCGGTGTGTTTAATCTACTTACTCTTTCTGCTCGGGAGGCTGAGGTTCCTACATTTCCAGCTCATGCTGGACTGTACCGTAAGCAACAAGTGAAATGAGTTCAGTGATCTCATTCTAGTCCTTCAACTCCTGTCCACATCGCTAAGCGACTGCACAGCTTGGCACAGGCCAGGATGAGTCAGCAGTCTCTGGTCATGAGAGGCCAGGCCTGGAATAGCAGGGGGGTTTAGGTCAGGAGCGAACTGAAGCAGAAAGGCCGTCTGGACTGCAGTGCTCGGCTCTGCAATGTGCGGAGACACTGCAGGTCACAATGAAAGAGCCTCATCAGCTAGTGGGTGAAGACTGTAGGATTGCAGAAAAAGAGAGCAGCAAGGGAAAAATGCAAAACAGCTGCCTACCAAACACAGACAGAACAAATTAGAGTACCACAATCAGAAAGAGAGGGCACTGGTAGAGCCCTCGAGGAGAAAAGATGCTCATTAAGATTTCTGGAATACCTTTTCTTCCATGCGCTCCCAAGCTTGATTTGAGAAATCAGGTGGTTACCTACTAGGATATACTCTCCTAGTATTTTGGTATTGCTTTCTTGATTTGGTAAGTAATGAAACCAACAAATAAAAACAAAGTGCTGCCGTCAAAGTAGCAAAAAGAAGCTCCATACTGCATAAAATACGTAAGAGCCTAATATCTCAAAAAGTTATATTTGGGTCAATAGTGTCCTTGAATAGCCTGCAGATCACAGGCCACACAAGGTTAAAGAGAAGCACTCCTCAAGTAAAGCCTGAGTGAGAGTAGAGCAGAACTGAGAAAAATAAAAGGCATAAGTTCAATGAAGAAATACTAGGGAAATATGCTGTGCCCATATTTCAACTCAATGGGGTTAGCACAGACCTCCATCAGGAAGCAACACTTCTCACCATGAGGTGTTTCCAACACTTCTGAGCAGTACAGTGGTACAGTGATATAGCAAGAGGAGAGGGGAAATAAGGCTCAACATAAGCAATCAATCAGTAACCCAACATTTTGTTTGGGAGGAGGCAAATTGCCTTAGAAGCCAACACATAAAGGAAAGTCTTAGTGTCTGAAACAAACTTAGAGGAACTATATCCAGGAGACTGAAATGGAAACAGAATTAGCACCAAATAGCAGTGATGGCCCCAAAATAATGAAGAAAGCTGTCCCAAGTCAAATGGAACACAGCAAGAATAGCATGGCAAAGAGAACAAGATCAACAGAATTGGGAAACACCAGTATAATATTTCTTTAACATTCTTTGAAAAGGAATAATAAGGATCTACCATATATTTCTAATGGCCATCTCTTAGAAATGCATGGTATAAGAAAATGTAGAGTAAATTTAGGCATGAAGTTATTTAGCCTCACTGCAGAGAGAGTTAAGTCATCTTAACACATCTTTAATAAATGTTTAACCTTGGGCTAATGAATTTTATGGCCTCAGTTTCCTTCTCTTTGAAATGAAACACTATCACACTCATTGAATTTATTACAAGAGCTGAATCCATATTTGGCATATTTTTGGTCCTTATCACTCAATAAATTGCTATCATTCTTATTTGACTATCATATCATCCTCCTAAGTGTCCAGTGAAAGAATCATTTCCAGTGTTGTCCCACCCAATTGAGTAGAGCCATATAAAGACTAGTAAAATCAGCTGAGTAACACTTCTCAGAGAATGCTGCTTTCAAAAGCTTATTTCTATCTGTTGAACATACTTAAAGACAGAGGACAGAGAACATCTATTATGTTACAATCTTGGTTTGGGAAATCTATGTTGTCAAAGCAGCTTGGAGCTTACCAGAGTCCTATAACTAGAGGCCTTGAAAAGAAGAGGGATGTTTAGAAGCTTCTCCAAAAGCAACAAGATGAAAGTGCTATTGGCCCTGACCGCATGATGAGGGCTTTTCACCAAAGGGGGAAACTTAGCCCAGCTGATCATCCCAGCCTAATTGATTAATTGTGGGTCTGACCATCTGGCTGATGAATGCTGACACCCAACAGTGATTGCTGTGTAACAGGAATCCGGATGTGCTCTCCCTGATGCCTCCCACAATAATGGCAGCTCTGAACTTGAGCTGAGTGTATTCAGGCCTCTTGGCTCAATCTCTTCATGGAACAGTGATTGTGGCAGGGAATATTTTACTAGACTTGGTCAAGCATTATCTTTTCTGATTTCAATTACCCCCTCTTTTCCAGCTCCACACCTACCCTTTCTGAACTCTCTCTTGTATATAATCACTTTTCATGCACAGCATTCCATCTGTAGTTTCCATCATACTGTCTGATTCTCTCATTTCCGGTTGCTCTATTCAGAAAAATATTTTACTGGTCTAAAAGACTGTATTGCTATTTCACAAGGACTCCTATTGAGACATTTTTATTATATATCCCTTTTGCTACTGGTTTACTTCAAATGACTCTGTGCTTCTAAATAAAGAAAATTATTTTACCTAATTTATGATTAAAAGGCCCCCACACATAAGTCCCGAGTTCTGCATGAAGTTAATAGAATACAAGGGTTAAGAGCAGATAGCTCTTACATCTCAAACCTACACCTGACCCTCGGTTAATAGTGTCACATGAAGGAGATTTTCCCCAGATTTCTCTGGAGAGAGAAGGTCAAATGCATGTAACTGTCAGGGATCAATAGCACTGCCCTCCCCTCTCTCCCACTCCAAACTAATCTACACGGAGCTAACCTGTATGAGAGAGAATTCAGTAAGCAAATAAAATCCGAATGCATAAATATAAGCTCTGAGGAATTACAACCCAAATATTTTATTATTTTTTATGGGAAGTAAACTGACACAAACTGTCCTGCACAAGCTTTTCCAACAAGTAACAACATAGAAGTATCCTCTCTCCTCTTCTTTCCCCAGACTATTACCATCTCAATATTCACCATTTTCCTTGCTCCTCATATAGGCTGAGTTCTTCTGCATTCCAGGATGGGTCAGTGTTAACTTTCAGTAGAGGATGGCAGTAGCATACTGAACTGCAGAGTTCCAGACTGGGAGTTGGGAAATGTTTTTGGCCTGTCAGTAAACAACTATGTGTCTACGGCAAGTCAAGTCCTTTAACTCCCTATGTCTCAGTGTCTTCATTGAAAAATGATAGGGTAGGACTGCATGAACTCCACAGACTCTGCCAACATGAAGATTCTATGGTTCTATAGCTCATTTTCTTTTCCTCTCTGGCATCAGCTACTCAACAACTCTGCTTACAGTCACTTCTCTGATCTGGGTTCCCAATAGAAAAATATTGCCTTCATTTACTACCCAGTATTTGGTATTTGTAATCTCTCTTTCTTTTTTTTTGATGCTAGATATTTTGAATCATAAATATGAACACATCCAGATAGATGCTTTAAATTTGAAGGCGTTTAAGGAGAATAGCTTTCCCATGTAGAGCATTTAGTGCAGCTCAGCATGGAGGAAGCCAGCCATCCAAAAGTGGAGCAAAGGGGCCAATTCACAAATGAGAGGAAGCCTTTCATAATAAGAGTCTCCAGACTCTTCATTTTAGATGAAGCTAAATGCTACCAAATTCCAACTACTTTTCTAATCAATCCCAGACACCATCACAAGCACTTAGGACTACAAATATGAGGGCCAGCACTGGCAGTGATGCAGTTCTTATTTCACCTCCACATGTATCGCCAAGTAGGATTTAGGATGGCATAGTAATAAGAGCCAAGAGGACAATCTGTCATTTATTTTCCTCCAAACTTTTTGAAATTTCCCATTTGAGCTCTGTTTCTCAGTTTTAATTTGGTAACTGCCATTTTTCAGCATTTCTTTTAACAGGTTACTAATAATTTCTGATACAGGATCTCATATTTCATTTTGTGCTGCTAGAACTGCTGTTAATATTTCATCTGCCTTCAATTCAGTTCGGAATAAAGGCTGCTAGGTTTTTGATACACTGTTAACACTTTGGGGATTTGATCACCAATGTTCACCCAATTTGTCTGGATCTTGTTAAGTATAAGTAATAGACTACCTGAATCAGAAATATCTCAAAGTGTGCTATACATTCTAGGGGGCTTCTTTGAAGTCTCCTGTCCTGGATCTTTGATGAGAATAACAACACAATTATTCTGTTTCCTTTGCCCAGGCTACTTGCTCTTTGCTTCAGTGGTAGTATTCTGGGAGCAGAGTGCAGTGCTTAAGAACAGGGCTCCCAGGGAGATCTAGGTTCAAATTCTAGCTCAGAAACTTTCTGCAGGTATCTCATTGGGCCAGTTCCTTAAACTCAGCCTCTGTTTTCCAATTTTCAAAACAGAAATAATAATAATGTCCACCTCTATTGCTAAAAAGATTGCATAAGCTCATGTACGGTGCTAGGACTTTCTGAGTTATCACTAAATAATGGGTATCATTATCACCTTAGCATCAACAATCTATACATTTGCATTAAAGGATTATTATGGTTATTATTTTGTAACATATTTTAAAGACCAATAAATTACTTTTGAGTGCAGACTTGGTGTTTATGTTGTTATAGCATACATTTTCAAGAACTGACTGTGACATTAAGTAAAATATTTAAAAATTGGTCCTAAGAATCATATATAATTAGAAATAGCATATAGAATCATATTTTATATTTCACCTTTCAGTCTAGCATTAAATTCTCACAAGTTTTTGTTCATCTAACAGTCAGACCTAGATAAGGCACATGGTACCAAAGCTAATCCATTCCATAAAGAGATGGCTTATCATATTTACTTTCCCTTACTCCCAAAGAATATAGATTATTTTAATATTCTTTGATTATGTACCAGTTGGAGTCCATCAGGAGAAAGAAACCACATAGCAATTTGAATAGGCAAAGTTTAATATAAAGAATTATTAACTATAATAGAGGATTGAAGTGATGAGGGAGTAGCTAGTAAGAAGTGGAGAGAATTCAAAATTATATAAGAATAAGCAAATATAAAGAGCATAATCATTTGTAGGGCTGAGATAGAGTGTTCAAGGAAGAGTCCTCTGCACCCCTGGACTGGGATCCAGACCTGGTTGGACAAGGCCCAGCCATTGAATGAATGAAAGGCAGAGAAATGGCTGGGAGCTGTTGTGTGGTGGGTGCTGGAGGGAGCTGCTAGCCACAAGGTGCTGGAGAAACTACCTGTGCTTCAGCTGCTAGGCACCAAGGCGGCTGTGTGTGTTGCAGGCACCAGACCCTAGAGACAACTTGCACACTGGAGGAGCCTGACAAAGGAGTACAGAGAACTGGGAAAGAAAAATTTCTTCCTCTCTAATATCTCTCTGAACCTTCTACCGACAAGCACACTCATACCTAGAAGCAAGGAAAAGTATTTAAAGGTCCCAGATACATGCTTGTGGAATAAGCAAGAAAGGGTAAATCTTAGAGAAAGTACACTGATAACCAGCATAGTTATTATTTGTTCATTCTCGAGACAAAATCCAGTGTTCTCAATTTATTATACTACCCTTCGCCTTGGATAATAAATTGGCTCTCTGCATAGCCAAATAAATACTGACAGAATCAAAGAAAATAACATCCTAGCCAAAACCAGTTTGGCTCAGTGTTTAGAGCACTGGCCTGTGGAATCAAGGGTCTCAGGTTCAATTCCGGTCAAGGGCATGCACCTTGGTTGTGGGCACATCCCCAGTAGGGGGTGTGCAAGAGGCAGCTGATTGATGTTTCTCATCAATGTTTCTAACCCTCTATCCCTCTTCCCTCCTCTCTGTAAAAAATCAATAAAATATATTTAAAAGCAAAACAAAAACAACAAAAAAGAAAATAACATTCTATTAAATAAAAGTAGAATTTGTACAATATTACCCCCAAATACTGCCCACATGTTTAAATTGTTTATAATTGAAAGATTAAGAAAAATATGTATAGAAATACTAAACTAAATTTATACATCAGTGATGTCAGTCCAGAGTTTCAACTAATGGGGTAATCAGGAGTCACTCTTTTTCAAAAGTGGTAAAAGTGGCCTCAATTATTTCCCTTTCTCCTTTTCTTTTTATTGACTATAGACCCATATTTGCTGTTCCATGATTGTCAACTATGGGTTGCTATTTTTCAGGGGAAAAAAGTGTTTTATAGAGAATTTTTCTCATGATTCCTGTCCTACCCTCAAAAGTTAAATAGAGAAGCATCAGCAAAGACCAATGTGGTGCATTCCTGAAGGTATACAGTGATCACTTTTAGGACTGGTTTTACTTTAGAAGGGGAGGTAACAAACACTTCCCCAATTTTTGCCCAATTCCTTAATTCATTTTTTAAGAAGAGAACAGAACCTTTTGTCCTAGAATTAGAGGCAGAGTTTTAAAGCACAAGCCCTTGACTTTAGAAGAGGCGGTGGTGGTGGTGAGGAGCTAAAAGCAATTGGGTGAGGAGAGGTCCTGTGGGGAGAAGACTACCACCAGACTAAGACCACAAAGCACCTGCTTCACTCACTTTCCATGTCTTCCTATGCCTGGCCATTCAGGTACTATCTGACCTCGC